TAATCGAGTATCGGCACAACAAATGTAGTTTGAAATTTTGTTTCTTTAAAAAAAAGAAAAAGAAAAAGAAAAGAAAAGCATAGTAAATGTTGGAAGAAACTAAGTAGCCGGAGTTTGTTATTTTTTTTTTGTTATGAAGTTAAGATGATTACAAAGTAGTATTTATTTTAAATACTCTCAATCAATTGATAACAAATTCTCAATCAATTGATAACAAACGCTCAATTATTTCTGTTGTAATCGTTGGTGTTCGAACAAGAGGCCTTTAAAAATAGTAACCATTCATTTAATCACTTAGGTAATTTGATTCGTACTATTATTAGAATTATTAAGGGGTTGTTAATGATTGTTTGCTTGATCGATATAGGTTTTGTTATATTTATTACAAACTAGGATTCAATCCTTGATCCCTTCATTTATGATCCATTAAGAAAAAGGTATAATATATTTTTAGTGCCTAAACTACATTTCAACAAATGATTTGGTGTTTAAAGAATTTTTTGCTAACAATAGGTGTTTAACGTTTCTCCGTTACACTTTTAAGTATCTATAGTTTTTTCCGTCACACTTTTAGGTTATAACGTTATATTTTTAAATTTTAAAATTTTTAATAATAAAAATATTTTTCAGTAAAAAAATAAAACCCCTCACGTCGTCCCTCTCCCTCTCATCCCCCCACCGCCGACGATGAGGAGTCACTACCGGTCGTGTTTTGTTCAGAGCAGGACGAGGAACTCAATAGTGGTGGATGTGTAACATATGGATAGATGTAGCCATCTTAATCGCCCAAAAATAATAACGAAAAACCTAAAAATTCGACGATTCTTTACAATGTTTTTCACGACGGTCGATGCAGTGTCACGGTGGGTGGGAGAATGAATTTTGGTCGCTGCAATGAGATAGTTTTGATGGTGACAATGATGACGACCACAGACCGACAGTGGTCGATCGACAACGGAATTTGTAAAATTTGAGGTTTTTTCCTTAGTTTTTTAATTATAATATTAAGTTTTTAAAATAAAATATTTTTTGAAATTTTATATGCGTGTCACGTGTCAGATAACAATCAAATTTAATAGTCGTTACGGTCCAGACACTTAAAAGTATAAGCTTGGAAACGTTAGACACCTATTGTTAGTAAAAAATTTCTTGTTGGAAAAAATTCGATAATTTTGGGGCTTTGAATGAGAAATTGATCCAAACGTTGTTGAGGAAAATGAGGAACTAATTGTTGGTTTGTAAATGTGCATACGTACACGATGTAGGTAACGTTAATGTCTGAACCGATTAGGCCTTTTGTGGGCTTGCGGATATTTTAACCCAAAGGTGAAATATTTTTTCCTCAAATAGAGCATATCTTTTCAAAATTTGTTTTGGAATTAAAAAGATAATATTAAAAAATTCTTTAATCAAAAAATAATTTTGGAAATTGTTTGATTATCATTAATGTTTCATTAGGTCAATTTTTTTTAATTGTTCACAATGTGAACTCCCTATAAAAATCGTGTTAACATACTATGTTAAAAACAATTAAAAAAACAACTCAAAATACAATTCAAAGGAATTATTTTCTCTAGTTTTGGTGATAGGCGAAGACAAGGAATGTTTTGTGATCTCGATAGTTGTGTTATTGTACTTTGATCATCTCGTTGTTGAATCCTAGGAGGCAAACGACCAAATATCTCGAGCACTAAGGAGTGGCCGAAAATCTATCTTAAGGAAACTACATAATTGCAAGCCTCGACTTATTTCTATTAACATATTTATGGTTTTCTATTCAGATTTTTTTAATTGAATATTTTTCATGTTATTAATTGTGTTTGTTTTATTATTGATTCATGCATATGAATTTTACGACGATATCCTATCGAGGAATTGAATGTCAATTGCCACGACTTGTATGAATCACCAAGGAAGCAAATTGTGGATCTATAAAATATTTTATTTTTATTTTCTTTTTATCTCGGATTGTTATACCTCTAATATTTCTTTAGGCAACAAATTGTATTTTGAGCTATAGTTTTAGCAATAAAAGCGTATAAAGGATATCAATATTAAAGAATTAAACTATAGCTCAAAATTATAGAATTAAAACTATCAACGTTTGCGCCCATGAATGAGTCTCGTTTGAGTAACACACACCGAAGTGCACCAATAATGACGTGCACCGCAGGGGCGGATGTACATGGTTTTGATGGGATTCAATTGCATACTTATTTTTTTGAAAAAATTATTAAATCTAGTTTAGTATATTAAGGGGAATGAAAAAAATAAAGAAATTTGCATACCTATTTTTCTTGGAAAATAAAATATTAGAATTTTGAACCCTTATATTTTAGTTTCTAGATCCGCCACTGGTGCACCGATATACATCATTAATGTAAAAATATGATAAAATTCATAAATGACCATTAAATTTATTAAAATAATTTAATTTGCCATCAAATTTTTAAAATATATTTTAATCTTCAAATTTGATTTAAAAATAGGTAGCTATTGTGAAATATTATTAAGAAGGTGACGTGACATGTTAAATTAATATGAAATATCTCTTTTGACTTCTCAATTATAACTAAAAATTTCATTATAATATTTTTCAATAATTTTAAGTAATAATTTCAAAAAGAAATTAAAAATTTAGATTTTTTTAAAAATATATGAAAACATTTTATTTTTAGAATTAAAAATTATGTTTTTCTAAATTTATTCATTCATCAAATTATTTTATTACTAATTACTTATTAATCATGATTGTATTTGTAAAATTATAAATTTATAATTTTTGAGATACAAAAAATTGAATTATCAAATAATGTAATTATTTTTTATTAGTAATTATTTTTTATTAAATGATATGATTCAAGCGTTTGAGTTTTGTTTAAGAAGTTTAAACACAATTTTAAAAAATACATCCAGAAAATTATAATATCACATTAATAAGAAAAATAAATCCAACTTAAATAAAAATAATTGAAACAATCCATAACTTTTACTAATGTATTAAGTAATTTATATGGTATAAATTCAATATTTATAAAATGACATTTAATTTTTTTATATTCATTTTGTATTTAGTTTAAGTAGCATAATACAAATTATTTTAATTAAAATTAATAGTAAAATAAAATTTTAATTACAATTAAAGCGTTAAATAAGATATTTTTTATTAATTTAACATGTAATATCACTTCTTTAATGATAGATAATAGTGTTATGCACATTTTATAATAAAATCTAAAGTTTAAAGCCTATTATATAACTTTTGAAAGTTTAATATCTAAATTGATCATTTTAATATAATTTAATGTCTATTTATTATAAAATTAATAATGAATATCAATATTTAACATTCATTCTAGAATTTTCCCTGCGCTCATACCGTATTTTGCATTGAGTGAAGACCGAGTGGCTATGGGAGGCCGTGTTGGCGGTGGTTAATGAGAGTTAGTGGAAGTTTGATTAGTTTTTTAGTTATAGGTTGTAAAACTTATTAATTTATTTAGAATTAAAGCTAATTCAATTAATTATATAAGTATGAAAGATTAAATATATTATTATATTTATTAAAATAAATGTTATACCGTTGTTTTGTTAATTATTTTATAGTAAATGATTGAAAAATAAATTAAAAAAATTGAATGATTAAAAAATATTTTTAAATAAGTAGATTAAAATATATAAACTTAAAAGTTATATAATTATTCTTGTACTGTATCTTATATTGTATTCGAATAATCTCTGGCAAGTTATAACTTTAAGAACAGTTAGTAAGCTAATAATTTGTCGTTATTGTAATATAATACGTACATTATTTTTGTTGTTATGTGCAAAATTAGTTATCCTTCAACGATAAAGCAGTGCCAATGAGAACGAGATCAGGGGTTAAATTACTGGGAGGATTACATTTACACATATAAAGAAACAAATGGGTAATATTTCAGTGACGTGGAAGCCACGCAAGCCCATACCCAGAAACGAGCAGAACAAAAGCCTCAAAAGTCAAAACCCAGAAAAGGACATCCAGAAACGATGTCGTGTGAAGCGAGATCTTTTTTTAATCGCTTCTTTAATTTAATGATGAATAATCAATCAGTGATCCAGTTGGCTGTTATTGTCATAAAACCTAATCCACTCCTACATATCCCACCTGTCTTCCCTTTCCCTCGCACGTGTCAGCTGCGAAACCCTAACCCCCTTCCCCTCTCTCTTTCCTTCTCTGATCTCACTATTTCCACTCCACCTACGCACCGACCACACCGGATTATTCCCCCCTCTCTCTTTTTAAGACTTCAGTAACAACAACGATCTCGTCGTACTTTAAATTTCCGTACGCCGGTTGTTTGTTTCATCATTAATTCTCAGCCGTCGGATAAGGGAAGTGGAAGTGGAAGTGGAGTGGAAGAAGAAAGCAAAAACGAATCTCTCTCTCTCTCTCCATTGTCTGCTTTTGTAAGTGTTCCGGTTAGACTTCCACCTCAGTTTCTTCTTCAACCCCAGGGAAACAGTTCTTTCTTTTTTCCTTCTTATTTTACTTTGGAATCTTACTTTATTTATTTATTTTTTAATTTTAGTTACTTATTTGACTTTTGTTTGAGTTATGGCTATTGAGCATCTGTGTGGGTTTTGGCTTGAAGATTAAGATTAGCTCTTGATCTTTGGAGAAAAAAAGGAGTTATTTAGCAATTTATTGATAATTGTTCAATACATGGTCTTTTTTCTCTAACTTCGGAAAGGAGATTCACTGATTCCAGCTGTAATATGTCTATTTTTGGCCAGCCTTGGATTTTTATATAATTTATAGTGAAGAATAAGAGGACTAAAAGTTGACTGGCTTTAACTCTGGTCTATCTAAATCAGACACTGTAAATTTTGTTGTGGGGTTTTCCCCATATATTATTTGTTAGGTTGGATCTTTTATGGCAAGAAATTAGAGGGGGGATCGTGTTTTGTTTTTGGAAAGGTAATTACGCGAATTGAAGAGTTACTTTCTATTTTAAGGTTGTCTGTTTACATAAGGATTGTTGTCATATGTTCTAAGCTCTGCTTTGTTTTCCATATTAATAAAATCAATTACAATCCTGGTACTTTCACTTGTTTGAACAAGGATAAATGTTTTATATTTTAAGTTAGGTTTATGGAAGATCAAAATAACTGAAGATCTTGATATTAAATGAGTTTATTTCTAAATTTAGCTCTTTTGATGGTTATTAAGGTATTCCAAGCTGGTATAGGATGAGATATGGTGGTGTATACAGTATTCTTGTGATGATCTTGTCTGCAGCTGGATCATTATCTTTCCATTTTGAAGATGATTCATGATAATTTGGTGATACTGAAATTTGCATAGATTTATGTTCCAAGAATCGTGTTTTGGCTCGTATAACATAAAAACCTTGTGAATACTCTGAAGTGGTCACGTTTATCTGCTTCTGCATATCATGAATTCTGAGTTGTAGTTGCTCCCCCCTTCTCTTTATTAGCTTCATCAGTTGATATTTTTCTTGTTATCTTCTATTTCTGGCAGACAGGGTTACTTGTTATCAGCTTCTAGGGTGCTTTATAAAGTTCGTCAAGGATTTACAGATTTCATTCTTACTTTGCTGAAATTCAGAGGTTTACAAAAGTTATTATGGGAACTGAAGAGGAGAACTCACCTGCCAAGCCTTCTTCCAAACCTACTGTTTCAACACAGGTCTGTCATTGTTGCCTCTATCCCACAAATTGGGAAGAACAAACAATTTGCCCATTTCACTCTTGCCTTCTCATCACTAACTCATTGATGAGTTTTACTGACATTTTTCTCTTTGTACTTATAGGAAATGCCTACAACACCTTCATATCCTGATTGGTCATGCCCGGTGCAGGTTTGTATACTTTAGTACGTAAATCCTGGAGTTTTATTTAGTTCTTTTAACTGTTGCTCTTGTTTAGGGAATCCTAAAAGATATTGTCATGTAAGTGATTATTCAATCTTACAACACAACTTCTTGTTCAGGCTTATTATGGTGCTGGAGCTGCCCCAGCTCCCTTCTTTGCCTCAACTGTTGCTTCGCCAACTCCGCATCCATATATGTGGGGAGGCCAGGTGATACCGCTTTTGAAATCTCCATTGTACACCAATGTGTTGTTTTCTTTTATATTTGATCAATGTTCTTACTTTCTTTTGCTTTGGATGATCTTTTAGCATCCTTTAATGCCTCCATATGGCACTCCAGTTCCATACCCAGCTATGTATCCTCCCGGGGGCGTCTATGCACATCCTCATATGGCCCCTGTAATATTTTCTTTCTTCTTTCTTTCTCTGTTTGTCTCTTTTTTCCATTTGTATTCCTTTTGATTCACAGTTATAAATTAAATGCCCTTCCTCTTGGCAATTTTTTGTATAGGCTCCAAGCGTTGCACAGAATAATACTGATCATGAAGGGAAGGATGCTAATGGGAAGGATCGAAGTGCGGCCAAAAAGTCAAAGGGAACTTCAGGAAGCAAGGCTGGAGAAAGTGCAAAGGGAGCTTCTGGCTCTGGAAACGACGGTGGCTCTCAAAGGTGCACTAGGCTTTTGATTTTCACATTCATTCGTAACATGGGTTTTGGTTAAAAAGTTTCTCCATTTTTTCTGCCATGTCTTTTCTAATTCTAAGCATTTTCTTAACAGCGGTGAAAGTGGTAGTGAGGGTACATCAGATGGAAGTGATGAGAATAATAATCAAGTATGTGCACAAATATCATTACTAATCGTTATCATGGATACCAAATGCTTTCGAAATTCAGTTTCCCTTGTCAACATTGCTTACTGGCTAGCATTTTAATATGATTAATTGTATTTTCTAATGAATATGCGTCTTTTTTTCCCCTTTAGGAACTTGCTACTGGTAAAAAGGGAAGCTTTAACCAGATGCTTGCAGATGGTATATTATGCTTATAAAGTTTCTGCTTTTATTTGTCTGGAAAAAAAGCTTCAGATTACTTTGAAATATGGTTTTAATTTATTGTTTTAAGACAAAATTACTTCCTTGTGACTGGGAGTGAGTGACTAAGTTAATGAAAATTGAAAACCAAATTGAGAAAGAAAATTGCCAAGTGTGTTTTTTGGGTGATGAACTCGGTTGATTTTTTATACCGTGCTAGTTTTCTACTTACAAATCACTCTTATTACAGCCAATGCACAGAGCAACAACGCTGGGGCCATAGTTCCTGGTAAACCAATAGTCCCAATGCCTGCAACCAACTTGAATATAGGGATGGACCTATGGAGTGGATCCCCTGCAGCCACAGGAGCTGCGAAAATGAGACCTAACTCGTCTGGTGCTGTAGCTGCAGTTCCTACTGGAGTTGTGATGCCCGAACAGTGGGTTCAAGTATGAGCTTTTTGCGGTTCTTTTTGTTTCTTTTTTACATGTTCATATTACTATTTTCTCCAATTTCGGTCCAATATTCTGTCCCCGAGTTGTTAAAATTCACCTTAGTCCTTTAAGGTCTAGCTTTTATTTGCTCCCTTTTGCATCCTTTCAATCAGCTTGAACATTTTGGATATGACATAAGGTCTAATGTTCTTCCAGGATGAACGTGAGTTGAAGAGACAGAAGAGGAAGCAATCTAATCGGGAGTCTGCTAGAAGATCAAGATTACGCAAGCAGGTACACTGGTATTATCTGTTTGTCTACCAAATGGCTCTAAAATTTATCTCCTTATTCGAAACCCAACATCTATAGCTTGTATTGCGTTTTCCATAGGCCGAGTGCGAAGAGCTACAAGCCAGAGTGGAGAGCTTGGCAAACGAAAACCATAATCTTAGAGAGGAACTAAAGAAGCTTTCTGATGAATGTGAGAAGCTTACATCAGAAAATAGTTCTATTAAGGTATAGAACAGCATTGCGCTCGCTATTCTTCATTCAACGATAGTGTATTAATAGTGTGTTGAGATCACCTCAAGTTGCAAATTCTCGAGTCTTTTATCGATAAATATGTTTTGCTGCTTCATAACAGGACGAGCTGACGCGGATATGTGGACCTGATGCGGTAACTAATCTAGAGCAAGGCAACGAAGGGAAGAGTTAATAGGAAACCTACAAGAGGTAACAGGGAGCCAATGCAGTAGTTTCTTGGCATCCAGGAACATTATTTTCACCATGGATTCGGTTTAGTTACTAATCTATACCCTTAACCCGTTATAGCTGTAATGTCTATTTTTACAAGCAGAAAGATGCTTTAACCAGCTTTCAAATAGTTGTATTGTTTGTAGTTTATTGGGAGCAAAACGATAATTGGGGATTGATTCAGAGTATTTTCACTTTTGTTTGGAATACAAGGTTTGATTTTATTGCGTTTCTTTACTGAACCAAATCATACTTCAACTGTTGAGATTTAGATAAAGATGTTGGATTGGGTTTTGAAAACCTCATGAAATTTCTAAATTTTTGGTAATATACAAGCATAAGTGTACTATTCCCTTGTTACATGAAAATCATTGCATCTGCATGCTCCTGTCCAAACAAGATACGCTTTTGGTTAGTATATACTATATAACCAGTGTAAATATATATTTACTATAATTGTTGGACGTAGTAGTAAGATATTTTATATTAAAAAATTAAATTTGAATTATAATTTTTGAAAATGATTTATCAAAAGGCAAGGCAGAGAAAAAATGAACAGAATTTACCCCTTGGATACATGAGTTTTTGGTACAAGCATTACATGGAAATGGATTATTATAACGTTATATGATATGAGGAAACTAGGCAGGCCTAAAGGCACTCTCCATTCTCGCGGCTTTTTTTTACTTGCGATAATTAATTTACTACAACTGAATTTTAATTACCCAAAATAGAAAAACCATGTAAAATACCGAAATTCTAAATCCAGCTAGGCTAATTTCATATCTAACACCTCCATGCTGACGTGGCAACCAAGGCGCTCTCGTACCAGCAAAGAACCAACTCAGCCTGTCGTTTAGCCACGTGGAATCCCCGAACTTGGACCCTCCCTAACAAACACTCTGCTTGAAACTCCGCCAACTGACTCAACTGCACCGCCCTCATCCCCGCCCCACGAAACCTCTCCCTCCATGGAGGCGCAGTACTCCTCGCCGCTGTCTCTACGGCCGCCAATATCCTCGGCCGCAACAACAACGCCTCAATCTTCCTTACCCATTCCTCGTTCGCCACCGCCGCATCCAATGACTCGAACATCATGGCATAGAACTCCAAACTGTTGACAAAATTCTTTCTAAACGATGTCGTCCCAGACTCCATCCACACCTCACTGTCTACAAACACGACGATGCTCGGGTGAACCCTCCGGAGATCACTCAAGAACGGTGTCACGTCTAAGCTGAGACTTCGGAATATAGACGGAGACAAGAGGATCGCCGTTTTCTCTCCGTCGATGAACTTAAAAGCTTTAAACGACAGCATTTCAAAGCTTCGAAGAAGAACGAACTCAATCTGGAACCTTAACTTAAGGTCTTGAGCGAACTGAACAAGGTTGTCTTTAATAAGCCTCGTCTCAATTGCATATTCCTCAGGAACCACCGCAGTTATACGAATGAACTTGCAAAAGTGATCGCTTCTTTCGGCCATTTCTCTCATCAAAGAAGCGTATTGGACTCCCAATCCGATGTCGAAATCAATTATGTGAATCAACGGTGCCGGTCCATCCAGGGATTCCAGGAGAGCTTGATTGGTCGTGAATTGGCTGAACATGGGGATAGGGTTGATCCCAGAGAAGGCCTTGTAGGCTTTGATGGTTTGAACGATTTCATTCCATGAAGACAAACGAGTTGACCGAGTTGATCCGGAGAGCAGAGACTGGAGGGCTTCCTTGAAGTAAAAAGCGGCTCTCTGTAACGGCTTCCCTGACGGAGATCGCAGCCGCTGACTGATCCGCGCCAATATCACCTGCGCCAGTTGCAATTCGTGGGTTTCGAAACAATCCGCGGCTCTTACCAACTCTTCTATAAAATCAAACCCCAAATTGAAATTGCCAATATTATGAAAACCACTACTAGTAGACATATCAAGGTAGCTATTAGTGTTAGTACCAGCAGTAAAATTACTTTTATGAGATGGGTTTTGATTTAAACCCGAATAAAAATCGTAAAGATTGTTAAACTCAGAGTGAGGAGTAAACTCGCAGGAGGTGAACTCGGGAAGGTTCTGGATATGATTCACGCAGGAAGGAGTAATAGCTTGAGGAGGAATAGTTTTGATAGGCGGTACTGATTCGTCATCTAATCCCAAATCTTTCATGATGGAATCCCAATCCATGTTTCGTAGCACATGCTCGTCCCACTCAACAGGCGCATGACGGTGATGAGGTGGAGGATCGGATACCACCATACAATTAGAAACATCGGCCGGATTAGATGTCGACTTTTTGGGCGCGGGACTTGGGCTTCGACGAAGATCAAGAACCGAAGTTGGCTCATAGCACGAGTTTGGCACACTGTTAACCCCGTGGAAACTTATGTTCCTAGCTGTACTATTACTATTACTATTACTATTAGTAGTAGTAGTAGTACCAGTATTATTGTTGTTAGGTTTAGGGCTTTGACAATGGTTGCTTTGTGGAGAAGAAACCGGGACTCTCATAGCTTTCGAAAGAAGAAACAAAAACAAACAAGGTATCTCTTTTGTTTGCTTGGATTTTGGGATTAATTTGGAATTAGGGTTTGAAAGTAGGAGAAGATCGGAGGCAGGGGCGGGGGGATTTCAGAGGATATAATTGCAGGCCTTTTATATTTGCATGGGGGTATGGGTGGAAGCATGGATGAGGAATGACATATATACATGCTGGAGACAATACCAGACCTTTCTTTTCCATCAACTATGATGCTTCTCGCTCAAGCTTTTGCTTTCTTACATGGTTTTTCTTTTGTTGTAGGATTCCCACCCTTACATTTTCTTTTGCTGTTGTTTCTTTTCAATCAAGATCCATTTTTTTATTTATGTCAAAGTAAAAAAAAAAAAAAGGTCCATCTACAATAGTCTTTTTTCTTACTGTTTCCATATAATTTTTATATGATTTATATTTATATAATTTTATTACTATTTATTTTATCTTTTTCGTGTAAATATGAAATGATAATCATTAAAAGTTAATTATGAGTGAATCAGCGATATTAAAAGGGGAAAAATAAGATAAATGATTTTTACTTATTAAAATCATAAATATCGTAACAAAAACTATTCCTACAATAATTCAATTTTTACGTGGCACGTAAATTGATGATGCCTATATAAATACCAATTATCCAGTTGTATAATAAATAATTAATGAAAGGTCTCATATCAAACATCCTCTTATATAGTAATTAATGAATTAAGTATTGAGCTTTAGATGATGAATTATGTTATCTAACTATGAATTTATTTTGCTGAAAATTCCGAGGAAAATGAACTATAAAACCCTAATGCTAAACTTTTTTTAATTATTGTATAAATAGACATGCGACCAACATGCTTTCACGAGAAAACAAAGGGATTAAAAACTACAATATCATAACATAATACGTCCAAACAAACTGAAATTTAAAAATTATCTGTAATGTTGTCTGATTTAAAGTTGGTCAAACAAATATAATATGTAATGTTTGAACAAAAATGTTAAAAAATATGAAGATTGGTGTTTCATTAACTGCGAAGGAGGTAAATAGAATTTTGATCCGAAGATGACAAAAAAGTCAATTTTGTGAGTTAAAGTTTCTTTTTCTTTTATTTTGCCCCCACAAACACCAAAGACAAGCACACCCACCCCCCCGTTCACATCACCTAAGAAAGGGGACACTATCATAAAGTAATTTCGAGGGTTGAGAGAGGCCACTTTTTATGAGTCTCACCTCTCCATGATTGATTTGTAAATGCATCTATCTTTTTACTTTTAATCTGATGAAGGGAAAAATCTCTTTCCAATTAATGGTCTTATTTTAATAAATTGTACAAGACCTCTTAAATCTTTGATTCATCCCTATTTATATTATTTTTAAGTATGAAATGTAATCGTATTTACTAAGAAGAATGTTTTTTTATATTAGTTAAAAGTATCATTTTCTTAACCATGAATCAAACAAGTAAACATTAAGCTACAACCGTGTGAATTTTAATTAAATGTTAAAATTCTTAGTTGATATCAAATACGAATAAGATACAACTTGAAACTAGACATGAATAGTTCTCTAGTAAATAACTTTTCAGCTTTGTGGTGACTAAAAGCCTTCATTGACTTCTTAATCAACATGTCTTAGTTCAATCAACCAAATCTTTGAATCGCAAGAAGTTGAGATATTCAACATAGAATCTCCACCGATTTTCTCGAGAACCAAACAACTTCGAAAGAACGACGAGTGATCACGCCGTAGAAGAAAAAGCTGAGGCTAAGGCGCTTCCCCAGGGAAGAAAAAGCAAATCAAATTCTTGAAATATATATATATATATATATATATAAAGAATAGAAATAGAGCGTTCACATTAGGTAATAAGCACGCAGCAGCCCTGTCGGCAATCATCTCTCTGTTCAAAAAGGTTTTTAAAAGGAAAAAAAGGGTAAACTACATAAATAGTCATTAATATTCGAGTAAGTTTTTTTTACTATTAAAGTTTGAAAAATAACAAATTGATTGTCAACATTATCGATTTATAACAAATTGATCGTCGTTAATAATCATTGTTGCAGTAATAGAATACTGATAGGGTAGTGTTAAACCAATGACATGACACTATTTTTTTACACATTTAACTTCCTAAAACTTTAGACTAGTGTTTTAAGAAAAAAATTGAAGATAAAATTTCTCTTCTTCTCTATTCTTCTTCACTTTCTCTCTCCTTTCTACTTACAAACCATACGAGCTACAAAGATTTCAAACATTAGAATCTACACAATGGATTTGGAAAATTTAAGAGCTATAGCTCTCATGATTTTTAAGTAGAGAAGAGAGAGAAGAAGAATTGAGTAGAAGAGAAACTTTTTTTCTTCAATTATTTTCTTAATCATTAATCAAAAACTTTGAAAAGTCAAAAAATATATTTTAGGTGTTTAATGCTATCACATCAGTATTCCATTATTGCAATAACGATTATTAACGACAAATGATTGAATTATTATAATTTAATAACATTAATGATAAATTTATTACTTTTGAAATTTCAATATAAAAATAATCAGGGTAAATTACATCAATGGTCATTAATGTTTGAGTAAGATTTTGTTTTTCTCACTAAAGTTTTAAAAGTAAGAAATCAGTCACTAACGATATCAATTTGTAACAAAATAGTCACTAACGTTATAGATTTGCAACAAAATGACCACTCCACCATCATCTCCGTTAAATTGATGTTGTGACAACGTTAAAAAGGTTAATATTTCATTTTACCCCTAAACTACTACTAAAATATCAAATAGGTCTTTGAATAATGATTTTATATCTAATTTACTCCAAAAAGTTTTCTAATTTGCATTTTTTTTTCCAAATAACCTGTTACCTTCACTATATTCGACCCACATTCCTTACAAAACTAAAACCATAGTTCAACAATTAAGAGCACTTTCCTTAGTATTTGTTTCATGCACACTTAAACAAAACCTAATAGTCTAAAACTATCTTCAACTGCAATATCAATCTTCGAAACTCGGTGTTTTTGTTCATATATTGTAGTATTGTGTTGGAGTAAAGTACTTACTGGTGTGCTTTATTCTCCGTTTAGCATTTGACTTTTGGTTCGTGGGTTACTAGTTGTCTAAAATATATAAGGAAACACAAAAAAAGAATAACAAAATGATTCACTATTTTTTTGTAACAAAAGAGAAGACAATTTATTATCTAAAAATATATGTTTTGTTTAAGTGTGGTTGAAACAAATACCAAGGAAATTGCTCCTAATTGTTTAAGTTTATTTTTCATTTTAGAAGAAATGTGTTTTAAATATAATGGAGGTGAGGGTGTTTGAAAAAAAATAGAAAGCTTTTGGGGTAAATTAGATATAAATTCATTGTTCAAGAACATATTTGATGTTTTAGAAGAGTTTATGTAACATCCTCAATACCAGGTTAGTGACTAAATTGTAAAGTCTCAGAATTTGGTGGTTAAAATAAAATGAATGAATAGTATAAAGATTTACATGTAAATTATTGTGTAGGATGGAATTGAAAGGAAGAAGAAATGGAAGGACAATAGAGTAATTGCAAGGAAAAATAACTAAAAAAAGGATAATTATATATATATAAGGATACACGTGGGTGGAAGGGGAGAAAACACCCAAGACTTCTAGAGTTCTCTTCTTCTTTCTTCCTTGTGCGTGTGAACCAAAGCAAAGGTAAGATTTCTAATTATTGAATTTCTTGTTAAATTTAATATTGGGTTTTGATTATTAGATGATAACTAAGCTTAAGGAAAGCTTAAGTTATCTTAACATCAAAGGATGATGGAGTTAGGAGAGATTTAAGATTTGAAGTTCTTAAATGAAATCTTGGAATAGAGTTCATAACTAGAATTGAAAGTTAAATTTGACTTGTCATCAATCTAGTTAAGATATACGAAGTGTTAAAAGTGGAATTCAAACATGTTGAATTATTGATGTAATTCTTAAATTACATATGAAGGATAGAATTTGGAGGTTTAAGATGAAATAAATGAGTATAAATTGGTTTAAGGATGTGTACTATAGTTAAGAATGAAAAAGAGGATTAAACATGAAGGATTTAATCTAAAATGAATGAATTTTCGGGTTCAAAAAGAGGATTCTGGGCAGAGTGCATCGATGCATATTCATAGTGCATCGATGCATATTCATAGTGCATCGATGCATCAAGGTTAAAACCCAGAAAGTGTTTGAAGGTGTATCGATGCACAGGTAGTGCATCGATACACTCTTTTAAAATAAAAAGATCGAATGCAATTAGTGCATCAATGCATAAGGCATGCATCGATGCATAAGGCATGCATCGATGCATCCCATTAATAATAAAACATCGAATGCATTTTATGCACCGATGCACAAGTAGTGCATCGATGCATACCTTCATTAAAAGAGAAAATTGGCTTTATCTTAATCTAAAGAGTGAACCATTAGAGTATATTAGCTATAATACTGATATAGATCCATGTGTGATTATGTAGATACTAAAAGTAAGCTTATTCCGGAACGATCAAAGGATTAGAATCGAATAAAAGAAAAGCTAAGGTGAGTGCATACTATATGTATAGTATAATGGAATAAGACTTGTGATAAGTCTAATTTCTATATTGATTTTCATAGTACAATAGTTGTGAACATGCATACATGATAATTATTGTAATACATGCATAAGGCATATATATGTTCATGTTATTGGATAAATGATGTATATATATGAATAGATTCAAATACACATGTGATATGATATGTGATATGAGAACATGATATGAGCTACATGATCACAAGAGAAATGACATGAGCTACATGATCACAAGAGAAATGACATGAGTACATGAACATATGGAATATAAGAATAATGCCCATAGTATACGATATGAGAGCTATAGGTGTAGTTGGCATGCCAAGAGTCGAGGGTATAATAGTCATTCGGTACATAGTCCTTCGGGATGTAGTGGTCCTACGGGACATATATGACAGTCCTTCGGGACGAATACTGAACTAAGGTTCGGTGCCCCATGAGGGAATTGATACGAGTTGTGGTGACATCATTAGTGCACAACCTCTATGTACTCACATACCTCTATTCTCAATAATATACATGGGCAATTGAAATATAAAGTAAAGTGAAAGTGGTACAAGAAGGTAAGTTTTGTACATGCATGATATGATTATATATGTTATTGTGTAATAGATACATGCATATTGAAATATCATGAAGAAAATGGTAAGAATGCATATTCATGAAGATAT